TTTTTTTTTTTTTTTTTTTTTTTTTTTTTTGGAAAGTTGAAGCTTTTCATTCCAGAATCATAACAGGGGGAGGCCGGGGACCTCACAATTCAACCCGGAGTGACCCTTGCTGAAAACCGGGTTCAGCATCCCTGCCCCACAGGAGGCGAAAAACAACTCTTCCAAAAAATTATCATGAAGCGCATGAAGAAAGGCAGTACTACTGTGGGCAAAAACGGCCCTTATTCTCCTGTGAACTTCTACTTCTGAGACTGGCCTAACAAGGGCCAACATAGAATGAGCCTATAACGGCTCCTGAGAGAAGGAGGAGGATGACAGCAAGGTTTCTCCCTATGGCTCCCCTTACTCTCCCTAATCATGTGTGTCCGAAAGCCAGGAGCAAATTGAAAATCGCCCCTCCTGGTTCACCGAAGCAAGCCTATTGCCTTTGGCCCAGGTATTCTGGAACCAGATAATATTTTTCCTGTTCCAGTCCGCCTTGATGATCTGGCGGAGCTTCTTCTTGATCTGATGTTGCTGCTGAATGGTTGAAACTTCCTCGCCCTTGAATACTTTGGCATTCCCGGCGGTCCAGATAGTGTCCATCAGAATGCCTCTGCATACCGTAGCTACATAGCCCAGATCTGCACTGTAGTTCAGGCCTTGTGGGAGAATGCCAGTGATCATCCATACATCAGACCACCCCAACCCTCCATTAGTAAAGCGGTTCGAGTGCCTTTTCCACCATATCGTGAGTTCGTCTACCAGCGGGCAGCATAGCCATAGATGGACCATATTTTCCCAGCCCCAATTGCATCGCAGGCAGGTCGTGGGGATTTCCATTCCCTTTGAAGCCAGCCACGTTGCCGTGGCAGTGACTAACAGGGACTGGATCCACATTAATCCTGCACGTTTCTGTACTAGCATTTTAGTAAGGCCCTTCCATAGCTTGTGCAGATTCTGAGATGTTACCCCTTGGTACTGATGTGAAGTTGCTCTCTTCATGGCCAGCCCGGTGGGGGTCTTCGTTAGCTTAGCTTGTTGAATGTAAACTCCCACCTTTGCATGATATTGAAGCAGAGGAATTTCTTGTACCCGACCACTCTCCCTATCTTCCACCTTCCAGCCCAACAGTAAGGGCTCCACTCTATATGTATCTGCATCTCGTCCCAATGTGGCCATAATTTTTCCTCTTTTGGAGTTTGCGAATGGGGTGTTTGGGGTCGGAACCATTGTGTGTGACCAGCCGTGTGCACATTTTTTTGGGAGTCTTACAGTTTTGGTACCCAGTGTGAGCGTGCCCTTAGATAGAAAAGCGAAGCGTTTGTTAGTTTTCCGTTTTTTGTTTTCTTTACTTTCTTTTTGTTTTGAGATATTTCTTTTCTTACTTATCATCATTTGTCTTCGAACACGGGTCTGTCTGGTCTGATGTTGTGCTGATTGAGCTAGAGCTAAGCTACGATGGAAAAGTGAAGAAAATAAGCTGCCTCACACAATCATCTGTGCAGCCCCCGAAGCTACAATCTTAGATACCCTGGCTGCGCCCCCGCGCCCCGCGCGGGTCCAGTATCCATTTCCCCCCAAACAAGAAAAAAGGTGCCGCAGGTCCCAAAATCACTTTTGGTGTTATTATTATTATTATTATTTTTTTTAAAGGAGGCGACGGTCTTGAGATATCATCATTGAGCTGACCTGCCCCAGGCAATTCAGAAATATTTGGGTTTACTGGCCAAGTTCCATCATCTAGGTTCGAACACGGGTCTGTATTTCTAATGGCCTCTGTGTAAAAATGGCGGGAAAGTGTTTTGCAGGGTGTAAAAATGACTCCGAAATTGACTGTGGGACCTGCGGCACTTTTTTCACCGTTTGGGGGGAAATCTATACAAAGGTTTCGTTGCGCTGAGGTTTTATGACTTTTCCCTAAAAGAAACACATATAAGAGGCCGGGGGCAATGTCCCATTTACACGAATTAGGCCATATCGACCGTAGATAGCAAAGATCAACGGCCAGAATCTCTTAATCCGTGCAAGTGGGACCTTGCCCCGGGGACCTCATAATTCAAGCCAGACCAACCTGGCGGAAACACAAGCTTTGAGGCTTTACCGCTTCACACCAAATGCCAGACAAACCTGGCATCAACACACAATCTATTTCTAGATAGAAAGCAACAGACGACCACTCAGTCACATCCGACCCCTACTGCCCCTACCGCGGGTCGCCAGGTCTAAAACGCTCCCCCCAGGCCGTATGAGCCTCCTCGTGACCAGGTCACTTCCCTTCCCGCGAAGCTGGTTGAAGCATTTCCAGTTTTCGGCAGTACCTTCCACCAGGGTACTTGGTTACCGTTACTCCGTTCCCTTGCCCCTCCTGACGGTGAGGCTGTGAGCTGACGTCCGTGCCTGGTTGATAGCCTGCATGCGAAGCCGCAGTCTATCTCTGCTGGTAGAAATAATGCACGTCCTGACGGGGAAAAGCCTTGGCCATTTTATACCCGAAAACTTTCGTATGGACGAAGAACTTATCTCTGCCACTTGTCATGCCCAGTTTCCCGCGGCAGGGAGCTGACGCGTAATCTTTGTACGTCACCGTGACCTGCCGCATTACAGTCGGACCATGATCAACGGCCGGGCGGGGAAGAACGTTTATTCCTCGATAAACAGCGCCCCGCAAGAATGCGGATTCCTCATTAATCAGCTCGTGTCAACAATTTTTATTATTATTTATTTTTTTTACCAAACAGTTTACTTCCACTCGCTGGTGCGTGGCAATCAAGGGCTCATTGGCCAGTTTTGCAACCAACGGCTCAGGGAAAACAGCCCCTCAGCTCGTTTATCACTACCATGTGTGCAGCAGTGATAGCGGGACGGCTCAGGAGTGTGCATGGTGATGTGATTTGATGTGGTGACTTGTTCCCCATTCCCGCCAGCTAATACGTAAACCCCCCCTGCGTAGGGTGGATTTCCCCGTTTCTTCTCATTTTAGTAGACTTCTTTTTTTCCCTTCTCCGCCCCCCCCCCCCATCCATGTAGTGTGATGACGCCTAGCTGTTTGATGAAGACGATGCGTTTTCGCGAGAGAAGGAACGTCCGTGCGGCATTCTGTGACATCAGAAGTCCACACGTGCGCTTCCTCTTGGTGCGCGTATTCGTCTTCTCCTTTTTCCTGATCTTAGCTGCCATGCTCCGCAGCTACAGTCCGGTCGAGGGACTGTGCCGCAGGTTGTCATCGTTGGGTGTGATTTCGAATTCCGATGCGCACGTGGTTGGGCGCCTTCTGCAGGCGCCCACATCAGAAGCCCCGCCATCTCTTCCGGTCGTATCATCACGTCCGGACGGACTCTTGATCAAGACCTCGATACGGGTCGTTGCTTCACATCCACCCCCTAGAGAGAATTGTAAGTCTGTAATCGCGAACCTGGTGGTTTCGCCTCCGAAAGGGCTGTACTATGTCCTCGAGCAGACCTGCTCAAACAGCAGCTCAAACAGCGGCGTTACGTCGATCAGAAAAGCCAACTTATCCAGGGCAACCCAGGGAGCGGACTCAGCGGATGACGAATCGACATTATTAACCTACTTGTGGTCTTCCGACGAGCGGAACGGGTCGAGAATTGCAGAACGACCGAATTGGACGGCTTCCGTGATGGGGATGGCCCTATCGAAAGATGGTTCCCATCTCATCTTGAGCGTAGCCTACCGTTTTAATTCTACCACAAGGTTCTACGACAGTGGCAGCATCACGTCCTTGTCTGTTTCTGACTCCTCCCGTCTTTSTATCTTCTCCTCAAGGCCCCTTGAGGTTTTTAACAATACCGGTTYGTACCCTTCCGGAGAGCGCGCGCTTACTCTGAACTCAACTATATTCGGGTCGATAGCTCGGGACTTCCGTCGGATGTATCATTAGAATCTGCGCGTACAAACATAAATCGAATGGAAATTGTTAACGTCATATTCCAATCTCAAAGCTTTGTGAACAGTTGCCTTTATTTTTCGCAGACAGATGGGTTCCACCTGTACGGGTTTCACCCGTTCATCGGGGAGACCGGACCCACAGTGCTATTGAACTTTTCTCCATTAAATACGGAACGTAGGAATGATGTTGTGGTCACCCGAGACGGGTGTCATCTCTTTTATTCCGTAGGGCGTCGTCTTCGTACTGCGGACGTCCGCAAACAATGCTCTCAGGTAGAAAATGACAATTATGAGATGGGGTACCGAGGGGGTACACTAATGGGACTGGCCTTGATGCAGAATGAAGTGGGGGAGGACACATACTTATACATGGGCTCTGACGACGGGAAACTTTTTGAAGTGCAGTTGAACAGGTCTGGCAGACGCTGTGTATTAGAAGCGGAACCAAGCATTCCCCCCGCACCTGAAGGTGTCGTAGAATCAAAACCAAGCAATCCCACTGCGTCTGGACCTGCCATCACTGTTCTGGTAGCATCTGGGGTGGCTGGCACAGTGGTCGCCATGGTAATCATTGGTAGCTCGATTTGCCTATGGAGGAGAGCGCGCCGCCCACCAGCTGGTCCGGAACGTCTCCCGGATGTCGGTGAACAAGCGACTTCATCTTTAATGGAAGATGAAGCGTTGGACGCGTGGGGAATTAAGCCGTCGCGGGTCAAGCAGTTCATTTTCAGAGTCCTGTCGGAATGTAAGAATTGGGGAGAAGGGAGCGTTTGGGAAGGTTTACAGAGGCTCGCTCGACGGCGAGGAGGTCGCGATGAAGGTGATGACGGGTGAGCTAACGG